TTGAATTTTGCCTATTTTTGGAGGGTAGAGTAAGTGATGCTTTAATTTTGTTGAGAAGTGTATTTATCTATTGTGTTTTAAATATTAAATTGCACTTTTCAGACAAAATTAAACCAAAATTAGTAAGAGAATCTCTGGCTTCGAGATATTTAACTCTTTCTAAAGTTTTCTAAAATGCTACTAAACACAGCAGAACGCCCAATATAAGTTCTAGGAACATCATTTTCATTATATTTGTTTTTGTTTAAATTGTACTTTCCCATACAAGCTCGTGTATGGAACATGAAATAATTGCGCAACTTCTAACCTAAAACCGAGACCACATCATTAATGACAGCTGTAAAGTTATCGGCTTGTTTCATGCTCTATTTGCTCTATTTGCTCCAATTCAATCGAACATTCTTTTTTTATAATGCTTAATGTCTGATATAATGAAATTGATCTTAAAACAGCTGAAATATAAATATTTTAGGGGAACTGAATGCATTATCCAAATTACCTCATAAAAATTTATTCAAATTTTCTCGTACGCCAACTTAAAAACATTGTAATATAGTATTAATACAACTCAACAAAATGCGCCACTAGTTGACATGATAACTGTTAATACAGGCAGGAAACATTTTTAGATTATATTGTTTTCATAGTTTTTATATAGGTTCCATAAAAGATAGCAGAGTATTTTCTTATAAGCTACAGTTACAACAGAAGTTCTTTACTAACATTGCTTAATATAAAATACTACATGGATCTATAGATTAACAGATATTCTTTAACAATTATATGAATATATAGATCAAAGTATCCTCTTTGTTGCTAACCACAAATATGAAACAAAACGTCTCTTATTTTTCTGAAATTCTTGCAAATGCTTACTGTTATCCAAATTTCTCCACTGTTCAAATTACCCCGCTGTACCCTAATGCTAATGCTAGCGATAATGTAACTTTCAAGCCTTATAAAAAGCCTTAAAAAGTGCTTAATAAAAAAAAATATATATATACAGGGTGTCTCATACTCAATGGTACAGCGCTTGTGGGGAGGTAGTGTGGACCAAACTGAACAAAAAAGTCCTCTACATTTTGCGATCTTCGTAATAGTTTTCGAGATATTAATGTATGAAGCTCGTCAAATCTGAACGCGCGGCGAGATACGCCCGCCCGCCGCCGACCACAATCACCTCCCCCGCGCGCCTAGTTGGTGGCGCGTGGTGGGGGTAACTGATTGTCTAGCGCACGGCAATGGATAACCCCCACCACGCGCCGCCAACTAGGCGCGCGGGGGAGGTGATTGCGGTCAGCGGTGGGCGGGCGTATCTCGCCGCGCGTTCAGATTCGACGAGCTTTATATATTAATATCTCGAAAATTATTGCGAAGATCGCAAAATGGTAGAGGACTTTTTTGTTCAGTTTTGTCCAGATTACCTCTCCACAAGCGCTTTACCATTGAATATGAGACACCCTGTATAATCATAAATGAACAATTTTTCTCATTTCTTCAAACTTGATTTTTTGTAAAAGGAACAATATAAAAATTATATCCTTTTAATTATTTTTTATGTTTTCTTCTTATTATTATCATTTTTTTGTATTAAAAAATAATTTTACAAAGGAAAGAAATATATATGGATATATACAAACATATTTTTGTATATAATTATATATAATTATATATTCTTATATATGTTTATATATATTTATATGTTTTTATATGAAAAAGTTTTTCCCGTATAATGTAACATAAATATTTAAATATGCTAACGTTATTGATCGGAAGAGCACACG